CCAAATTTAACTCTTTTTTTGTAGGTAATTTAGTATTTTTCTAAATATTATGAGTACAATAAAAAAAGCATACTTATGAGTTATTCACAAATAAAGGTTCTTTTCCCTCATAACTTTTCCCCTTTCTAATGAGGGCTCAATTATTGATTGTTGATTTGATGAAGAATTGACGAAGTTATGGCGTTGTGACAAAAAAAAAAAAACGCATTTTAGAAATAATATATAAGATAAAAGAGCTGTGCTGAGATAGTCATCATGGCAGCGACTTCACTTTTCATTATGATGTTTTTGCCTGTCATTAACTAAAACATCAATAACTCCTAAGGATTTTATCCTAATTCAATGTTTTTGCAACCGATGAAAAGCTGAATTGTTCGAGAAACTTGTCCTTGTAAAAAGACCTTCATGTTTTATTTTAATCCTCTCATCCATTGAAATTTTACTCATATGCAGGATGCCATTTTAACCCCCTTGTATTAATTGATTGTAAAATAGTTAAAATTTGTATATAGTTAAAACTTCGAAATTTTTTAAGGCAAATGAAATCAAATAAACAGATAAAACTAAATTATTGTATAATATTAGCCTAGAGCCTATATTGGCTCAATAATCATGGATTTAGCCTGTAGAAATTATATACATTTATCCTATTCATTTTATAAAGTAATCTAATAATTAAGCAATATTTTCTAGGCTTTTGGAAACAAACCTAAATTTATGTCAGTTTGTGGCGACTGTTACCTGAAAACAAATCATAGCTGGCGAAGTCCATTTCACAAGTATCTTTCTAATGATTCAAGTAGTACTATAGTTGGTATTAGTGGTAGTTGTACGCCATAGTTTTTCTCACAGGAGTAGCTATTGAAGACTGCAGTACAAATTCATCTTAGATTTTATCTTAAAATTGTTTGCCTTAATTTTTGTAATAAGAACATTAGCATTAATTTATTTATTTTTATCTAAAACCATTTTTTACCTTATATGTTGTGTTACAACACTAAAATGTGTAGATCACATTTGTAATAAAAACTAGATACCAATGCCGTAATATATTAAGGAATATTATATGTGTTTAAAACATAGGTCCTTTTTATAACTGTTATAAATATTAATTTACAATGAAATAAGAAATTTGAATTATAAAAAAGTGTAGAAGTTGTAGTAAAGTAAAACAAAAGTTGTATATTAATATTACATCATAACCTAGTTAAAATATATTTCTTGTAAATCATTTTTTTATTGTTGATCTGCTGTTGTTGATACAAATAATATAATTTTATAATCTCTTATATATTTAACCTTAATAATTCCTTTTATTTATAATTTAAAATAATATCTGGAGTGTTTATTTTTTATTTTACATTTTACCTCTACAACCCATGAAGGATCTTGGGTTCAGTGCTATTTAGGGAAAGTACAGTTTCTTGGTCTACGGTTGTGCAAGGAGGTGATTTGACTGAGATCACGCTCAACCGCCAGGTTTTCCCCCTTAATGAATTATTTAAGGGTTCCTACTTTATAGAAGCTGGGTGTGCCCCAGGAGGGTTTCCCGATCTAGGGTCGCTCCACGGCTAATGAAACAGAATAAATAATTTTTCTGTCATTAGCCAGGATTCGAATCTGGAACCTTGAGCATTGCAAGATCAGTGTTTTACCACTGAGCTATCCCACTCCTCTTTAAATCACATTACTATTCATTATTCTTTTCTGTTTAGCTTACAATTCATAAGAGGTTCCACTATTTTATCCGTATAATCATAAGAGTGGAGATTACTTGAAGTAGTAAGTAGTTAAGGCAATAGAATTCATTTTGAAACCAAAAGAACCGTATATCATTTACAAGGATTACAAAAGTTTAATCAGACTAGGTAGGACACATAAAATCTCGTGATAGAATTTGGTTAGGGGATCTGGTCATAAATGAAATTACACACAAATAAGAAGTCTTATTTTATTATATGCAATGACCAGTTAGAAAAACATCATAACAAGACAATAAGTAGCTTGGGAAATATACAATAAAATGTGATAACCACGGTGATTGGGTGCTCTGAATCAGAGTATTAGTATAGTTTGTAAATTGTTTTTATCTTTTTAGACTGTTTTTCTTACTCGTAGTCTTTCACTTTGTACTGGTTTTTATTTTGTCTTTTAGCCCTGACGAAGTCTTAAAACTTCATTCATTTATAACTGTTATGAGTAGGACCCAGACCTGAATATCTAAATTTACCAAGAAATGGATTGTAAAAATCAATTTTTAGATCTAAAAAAGATCTTAAACCATTCATTGATTTATTAATTTGCAGAGCTTAAGCATTATTAAACATGAAAACATAAACGAATATGGTAAAACTGGGTAGAAACAATTAACTATAATGTTTGCGAAAATTGAAATTTTAACAAATAACATTACTTAATAACAAAAAGAGTAAGTTCCTAAACTTACCGCTACCATACCATCCTAATACCATTGATGGATTCTATGAATCTGTTAAATCCAATAGCGATTCATGCTCAGTTTAGGAATGACCTGATGGTTTCCATCGGAAAGTTAACACTCCTGAAAGCTTACTAAACGCATAAAAAATAGAAAAAAGTTGAAGAAGTACGCCCTGATGAATTTCAAAAGAGATATAAATAGGACAACTTCCTAAACGCTGAGCTTATTGATGGCGTCATTTCATCTGGTGTAGAGATGAGTCCGATATCATCAATGATCGATGTTAGCGCTGAGTTTAGGAACTTGTCCATGTAGACAAAAAGGAAAAAAAAACATGTGAAATAATTAAAATATAACAACACTGAAGTTCCGTGCAGCAGATCTTTCGATTCCAAAAGCTGATGAAACCGCTGAGCCATCAAAGATAAAATTGAAGAATAAATGAACGTGCTGAATTCCATCGATTAATTTAGGAATTTTCCTTTATTATTTCCCAAAAACATTTAAATTTTTGGGAAAATTCCTAAATTAATCGATGGAATTCAGCACGTTCATTTATTCATCAATAAATTTAGGAATTTTCCCAAAAATTTAAATGTTTTTGGGAAATAATACTTTTTAAATTTCTCTAAAACAATGTATTATGTCAGATTTAGCCAAATTATATTACAGATCAATTGTAACACTGTTGATGTCCCTTTTGTTAAACATTTTTTCATTTATCTCAGAATGTTAACAGAGAGAACAGTCCATGTTATGTATTTTTGTTGAATATATTGCATTAACTTATTAGGTAATCGAATCAAATGAACTTCCTGAGACTCAAAACAGAGTTGTTCCATTATTCTTTCTAGACAAATATCAGTTATTACAAGGGTTTTACTTTTTTTCTCATTAAATTTATATAATTAGATATTTAAGCGTAAAAGCACACATAATAATTAGGAAATTATTTAATTTAATCAAATAAATATAAATAAAAAATTATTGACAGTCTGCATTATCAATGTCTGACCTTCCTGCAGCAACTAATAAAAAAAAAGGTTTCACCCCTGTGGTTTAGTCCCTTCCTTACGATTGAATAAATGTCTCTCCACTGTCATCGGTGACACGAGATCACATTATAAACAGAATCCCGAGAATGGCAGAGTTTGTTCGAAAGTAGATATAGCATTTCCAAGTCAATTTCAACCTTTTCCAAATCAAATTCAACCTTTTCCAAGTCAAATTAAACCTTTTCCATTTCCAATTCAACCTTTTCCAAGTCAAATTAAACCTTTTCCATTTCCAATTCAACCTTTTCCATTTCAAATTCAACTTTCGAATTTTTGTCAATTTTCGAAATGAAGGCCACTTACTATATTAACGAAGGTATAGCTTTTGAAAAATACAAAAAATATTTTGATAACACGGTTGCATATCCATTTATTTTAACATTTTAGATTTTTTCAGTGTGATATTTCTATGTCATTTCCAAGTCAAATTCAACCTTTTCCAGATCAAATTAAACTTTTTCCAAGTCAAATTCAACCATTTCCATTTCAAATTAAACCTTTTCCAATTCAAATTCAACCGTTTTCATTTCAAATTAATGTTTTAATTTTTTGTAAATCTTATATATTTTTTAAAAATAATGGCCATCCCCTCCCCCCCTCCAATATGAAAGTCTATTATTATGCTCTTCTAAGTAGAATTTTCACTTACGGATATCGATTTATTGTACCTATTCGGATTTATTAGGGACTAGTATTATGCTGTCCTGTACCTAGTTTTGAAAATAACCCCCATTTTAAGATTAACTGACTGTGTTTCGAATCATTTAAGTTTTTTTGACTTATTCGATATAAGCATGTATTTTTATGTTTCCCGATCAGTAAATTTTGAAAATGACATCCATTTTGTGTTTACGCCACTGTGTTTTGACTTATTTAAGTTTTTAAAATTTATTAAATATAAAGGTCTACTTTTATGTTTCTAGAGCCGTAGATTTTGAAAACGACCTCCATTTTAAGATTAGGCCACCGCGTTTCGACTTATTTGAGTTTTCATCATTTTCAAAATCTACAGCTCCGGAAACATAAAAATACACCCTCATATGAAAAATACCCGAAAAGCTCAAATAAGTCGAAACGCGGTGGTCTAATCTTAAAATGGAGGTCATTTTCAAAATCTACAGCTCCGAAAACATAATAATACACCCTCATATGAAAAATATCCGAAAAACTCAAATAAGTCGAAACGCGGTGGCCTAATCTTAAAATGGAGGTCATTTTCAAAATCTACAGCTTCGGAAACATAAAAGTAGACCTTTATATTGGATAAATTCTAAAAACTTAAATAAATCAAAACACAGTGGCGTAAACATAAAATGGATGTCATTTTCAAAATTTACTGATCGGGAAACATAAAAATACACCCTTATATCGAATAATTAAAAAAAACTTAAATAATTCGAAACTCAGTCACGTAATCTTAGAAAGGAGGTTATTTTCAAAAACTACTCATACAATAACAGACCCACACATCGAAAAATTAAAGATAATTAAATAAATAAAAAAAGGTTGAATTTGAAATGGAAAAGGTTGAATTTGACTTGGAAAAAGTTTAATTTGACTTGGAAAAGGTTGAAATTGACTTGGAAATACTATAGAAGTGACAACCATCTAATAAGGTCCTGATTTTAACTGAAAAGGACCATTCGGGAGAGAGTTTGCGGAGGTTGTAAATCATGTTCTAAATAAAGGGATGTTACACAGTTAACACAATCTTTGGCTATTCTTGCAATTCTATTTATACTGGGAACAAGACATCTTGGTCCATTAGAGAAGGCGGGGAGTGGCATTTGTATTGTGGTCCCATCTCTTCCTCTTTTTTCCTCTCAATGTGTAGAAAATATGGTTAGGGTTGATAAAAATGTAATATTAAACAGATAATATTTATTTACATATACACAATATTTGATCTATCTATGATTAATAATAATATAGCGGCTATGTTAAAATATTACATAAAATAATATTTACAGATTTCATTTCATATTTGGATCAGTTGGAGGTAGGTTATAGCTAGGTGGTAGGAGATTCCATGTCTTGGCAGGTCTCCATAATTTAATCTGAAAAGCATAGACAAACCTAAACTTAATTGTGTAGAATATTGATTATAATATTAATTGGCTAAAATCAAATTTGCATGATGCTAATATTTTATTTTAATAACATAATGTAGATGAAAAATTAACTCAGTCCACTAAATATCAATATTAAAATCCTTAGCTATACTAGACATGAAAATGTTATATTTTATTGCACATCCAATGCAATTTTTTACAGCCTATAAAATACTTCTTTAACTTTCACGTCAATGTTATTTTAAAATACGGAATTTTTGGTTTTGAGACAGGTATTCATCAAATCATAAGTTCTATTCATACATATAGTTGACAGAATGACTAACTCCAATTTTAAGTAGTCATTTTGGTGATATTTCTAGTTGGAAAATTTATAATATCTGTACGTACAGTAAGTTGATCCCAGAGTGGTGATTGTAGTGTTAAAATATAGAACTGTAAATAAATGTATACATTTCCCACTACAAACATTGCTAAAATTAATATTAAAAAATGCTGCAAATTATTTCACAATGGTTTATTATTTCCAAACAATTATACGTCTAAAGTAACATTACCTTCCGAGTTACAAAGAAAAATAAACAAAAGGTGATTCCAACTACTGGACTAAACTTTTATTTTAATTATTAGTAATATGCTAGAAAAAAAGCATTACTTCAGTAACACATTGAAAATTTAAAAACCAAACCAAGGATATAACATTTGGAGTAGAACATATAAAAAAAAAACCGGAGACCATATCTTTGCTCCTAATTGTCCGATTTTTTTTTGTTTTTTAGGAAATTTCGTAAACTTTTAAAAAACCATATACAATATCAACAAAAACGTATAAACTTTTCAAGTTATTCGGAATTTAATTTTACCATCCCTCGTAACTTTTTTTCTAGCTGAAGTATGTTATATAGATAAATTTAAAGGGCGTCAAGAAAATGACTTTAGCAAAGTTTCATTGAAATCTGTACATTCGTTTAGGAGCTACAATCTATAGCAACGCAGGTTTCTCGGCCGCCATTTTGAAAGTATAAGGCGGATAGTAATGTCGATGAAAGAGGATCATCCTCAGCTGACCTCTGATTTTATATTAAAATTTGAAAAAAATCGGTCCAGTAGTTTATTTACGGACAAAAAAATGTTTATTCGTTTCTTGAATTTTTTGGTCAATCACAATGGTTGATTATTGAAAATAATAAACCAAAATGTTGAAATTGGAGTTAGTCATTCTGTCAACTGAAAAGCTCTTACAACAATTGCAAAATTTTTGTAGGATTTTTAACTGACCAGGGAATATCCCGGAATTAATGAATAAGTATGAAAATTAAAATAAAAGAATTTAATATACAAATCTACAAAATACTCGGAGTAAAAAGCTGAGGGTATAAGAAGGAGATGAAGGCCTCTTGTAAGATGGAGATATGGTTGAGAGTATGGCAGGCCGAGGAATTACGGAAAAGGAGGTGATGGACAGAGTGAAGTGGAGGAACTGACTGAGGGAAACTTCAATTTATGAAGAAAAACTCTTATATAAAAACAAAATCTTCAAAATAGAGAATTTCTTGATTAAAGTGCACCTACCAGCCTTCTCATAAACTCTTTGAACTCGATATAAATAATAAACTATGATCTTCTCATAGTAAGCATTGTATTTATTTCCCATATTATTCTTCTGAGGCATTCAATGACTTCTTTTAGTTGCTTATTTTTCAATACAACTTGCTGAAACAATAAAATATTGAGGATAAAAAAAAATGTCTAGGATAGTAAACTTTAAAGAAACCAATATATATGTATAATAGATATAATATAAATATAAAATATTTGTACCTCCATAACTTCTTTGCTTTCATCACAAGCTAATCTAAAGGGCTCTGATGTTTTCCTTTCATCAGATTTCATATCCTTCTCTTCTTTCAGAGGAATCAAACTCTGGTAAAAAAAATTAACAATTATAAAGCAGTTAAAGAAATAATAATAAAGTTAACTTATAAATATGTATAAATTTAGTTATTTTCTTTTTTGAATTAGGAAAATAATTGTAATAAAAAATGTGTTAAGAAAAGTCACCAGTTGGATATTACAAAAAAAAAAAAAAAAAAAATGCCAAAGCCAACCCAGTAAATTTATAATAGAGATAATTCTGATCCACAATGTCACACAATTTAAAATATATTTCTAACTAATAAAGTTAATGTGCTCTGTTCTAAAAACATACCTCAATGTGCATGTACTCCATCCCTTGAAGTTGGCAACTTTCATTGCACTTCTCATAGATCAACCTCAATCTCTTGAAGAGCAGTCTGATAGTTCTCAACTGCTCTTGCATTTTTGCTTTCTTTTCATTACTGGCAGTAGCTCCTTGTGGTGTTCCATTTGGTGGCTGTAACAACAACACTCATCAAGTATATATGTTTACCAAAAAAAAAAAAATTAAAAAAATGCCATCATAATGAAGTTAGACAAGAATATGTTTATGTCTTTCTTTATCTCCTTACTTATGACAGAACACGGTTAACCAAAATTTTGAAACATAAAAGCTCAAATTTAAAGGGAGTCAATATTTTTCTTGTTTGAATAAAAATGTTGGCATATTTATGGTGCAAAAACATATTTATGGTGAAACAAAATTATACATAAGGATAATCATTAAATGTTCCAAAACTTACCTGCATTACTTTAAGTGTTTGAAAAACCTCTTGTGTTCTCGATACTATATCTTGAACTGTCTCTTGACCATATCGACATAAAGATGCAGTGTTAAACTCCTTATTTTGAGCCCCTTGTTGAGCAACAGCCCCTCCAGCCTAAACATTTTTAGTATTATAGCACTATTTTTGTTATATAATTGGAGATAATAACTACGTTATTCATGAAAAAAACAAAACAAATCTGATGGTCAAATCAATAAAGGAAATTAGTTAGTACTTGTTGTTGTTGCTGTTGTGCCTGCTGCTGCTGTTGCATTTGCTGAAGCTGTTGCTGTTGCTGAATCTGCATTTGCTGCTGCTGGATTTGCATTTGTTGGGTTTGCGCAGCTTGGGCTTGAGGCATGCCAACCACACCAACTCCAACTCCATACCCTTGCTGTGCCACCATAGCTAAAATATTGTAATGTATTAGATATTCAGCGCCTGGGAAGCTATCACAATCATTAGGCTGGATCTTTGTTTTTTTTTTTTTAAAAAGATAAGTTTTAGGTCTTAAGATACATTAATTAAAGTTTGCATTGACATTCTTAAAACTTGATGCCCTAACTCAATCCACCAACTTGCTACTGCAGGTGTTTTGAAACCACTTGCATTTTTCAATCTTACCACATGATACAGCGAAAGATTGAAAAATTAATTGATTATCATAGAATGGAGTAGTTTTGGGACACTGTTCAAAGTTTTAAGTTGCTTCTATCTTTATTTTCAAATTTCAGTTAGAATGCTGAACAAATTATTAATATGTAAAATCACTCTCCCTCTTACAAAATATGGCAGAACGATAACTCTAGAAACAAGAATATTTTACTAAAAGAAATTTAAGGTTGTCCTAATGTTACCCAATTGATTGGGGGTAAAATTGACTTTGTACCAATGTTACTTCACAATATTGTTTAGGCTCATTATTTACATACGAAACAACAAGGAAAATTTGTTTACCAATTTTACCCAACAATACTATATTTAAAAGAACATAAGAACAATAAATTTGTATTAATGGAACAAAAAGCTTTGTGACACTTCATAAACAAATCTGCCCAATCATTTCCCGGCAAGATATTTTAGAAGCGAATTTCTTTTGTCCAATTCTATCAAGATTCGATTTTACAACACTACGCAAATCAAAGATGTGGACTGGAAAACCGTAGTTTGACATGGCAAGAACATGCGCGGCCATCTGTTCCTCTTCCATTTAAAATACTGTAGCCTGAACTACAAAGTTTTTCTTGAGATTTCAGATGCAATGTATTTTTCGTAATTCCGTAATTGGAAGCGGCATTTCGGATCGATAGTGTCTTATACACTAGTAAGGCTTTCTGTAAATTTTCTTCCATGTAATTTTGTATGGCCTTGTGTCAAGAGTTCTTTGAGAATTTCTAGGCATTATCCAATAAAATCCGGAAGAAACAAACCAATAGAGATAAAACAAAATAGAGTATGCAGAGCATAGAGACTATTCCAAAGTTACCCTGGCAGCACATGTAAATTTACAATTTACAGGTTATGAAACAAAGTAGTTAGGAGAACATGATTACTTCAATATTAAACACTTAATAATGTATTTGTTAATGTGTATACACACCTGAAGGTAATCTGATGTTCACACTTCTTGAAGCACAAGCAAAAGTTTAGTGAACTAGGGTTCTCGAACTGCCCAAGGTACATGTCTACGCATACATGTTTTTGCAGGCTGAACCAACACAGTGTATCCACCACAAACTAAATTTTACCCGCTGTCCCAAAGTTACCCCATCTTACGGTACTATGAAGTTATTACTTTAAACATATTTCATGAATACATATACCACAATTCAATGTCCTCTAGGTACTATTTTACCGGTGTTGCTCCACTTTGATGAGGAGAATCTCAAAAATGGCTATGTGTCCGAAAACAGATGGAGGTGACAAACTGTCTTGAAAGGCTCTAATTCTACTGGAAAGGATCCATTTAGGGTTGATTACTCATTATGGATGAGCACAATAAGCAGAAATCTAAAGCCGAGATGCAATTAAAGCCAACAAAAGTCCTGATTTTAAGTGATAAGGACCACCTAAGAGTTTGTGTTGGAAATTGTGATCTAGATAAAGGAAGGTTATACTGTAAACTGTCAATTTTTGGAATCCCATTTATACCGTGATCATCCGAGATTGGTACTACCAAGATTTTTACAAGGTACCGTGATTGTTACTATGAATTAATACGTTGGGAAAATAAATGAAGAAAAAGTTAGGTAACAATAAAAAGTTCTATGATGAATAATTTTCAAGTTTCTGGACAATGGATATAATTAGAGTCATTAAACGACAATGAATAACTTGTCTATTTTGAACTTCAACACTGCATTTATTAACTCTTAATAACATTACTTACAGATATAGGAGACAGCAGATACTCATACAAATAAATACATATAAAGAGAAAACAATCGCCGTAGATAGCAGTTAACAGATTTCACATCAACAAACAAAGGAATTTCAATAAAATGGCAACTTACAAAATTAGCTATTTAATTGGGTGTGCTTGCAATATGATGAGTTCCATACACACCTGTTTGCTGATTAGGAGTCATGAGACCAGTTTGGTTGGGGGCCATCAACCCTGCTTGATTTGGTGTCATTAATCCACCAGCTGCAACAAACTGATTACGCATAGCTGCTTGCTGAGCATTAGGAAAACCAGTCTGGAAAGTGTGAGGTGGACCAGCCATCTATAGATCATAATAAAGTAATTAAATAGCACCATAATAAATGACATGAGCACCATTTTAATTTAAATCAACAGTAACTGTTTAATCACAAACTACTCTTACTTCTGGTAAGGTTTTGACGACGGGATTCAGACACTAAGTGACTTAACAGTAAAATCAATATTTAACTTTAACTAAAAACAGTTTAAGATAAACATTGAAACTAAATAACAAAACCCGCTAAACATAAACAAAATATAACCTTCCCAGACTTCTGACTATCAGCGCTACTAGGTTTTCTGTTTGTTTTTGTGGAACCAAAAAAGAAGCTAAAAACGTTGATCATTATTTATTAAATGATTTGTAAAATTAATTTTATCGAAAAATTTATTACATAAATGAAACCAATACAGTTAAATTTAAGATTCTTTGCATTTTGACAGTATGATGAAGGGGGAGGCTTCGAGATTTTGCTATGCACAAGTACAGGGTGTCCCAAAATTAACATAAGATTTAAATTACATACAAAACACAGTCCTTTCTTCTTTTGTTTCCTTTTTATTTGTCAATATAACAGCTGATGGTTTAAAGTTAATAAAAATGGATGGCGAACAATGTGTTTTCATTGTTGAAAAATATTTTTAAAATAATGAAAATCTTGCGGCTACAGATCGAAAATTTCCAACAAAATATGGTCGGAATAGTGATTTAACTTCATCAACTGTGAAGAGAATGGTTGAGAAAGTCAAGCAGGCTGGATCAATTGGAGATGTTGAACACTCAGTGATGAAGAATATTTTAAAAATAAAGAAAGTCTTGCGGCCACTTGTCTTCCTTCGATAGTGTCACTTTACGGCCAGTGTTAAACATCGCCAACTGATTCAGTCTACTTGACTTTCTCAACCATTTTCTTCACAGTTGATGAAGTTAAATCACTATTCCGACCATATTTTGTGTGCCCACAAGACTTTCATTATTTTAAAAATATTTTTCAGCAATGAAAATACATTTTTCGCTCGTATAACGCTCCATTTTTATGAAACCTGTCAGCTGTTAAATTGGCAAAGAAAAGGGACAACAAATAAGAAAGAACTGCGGTTTATATTTAATTTAAATCTTGCGTTAATTTTGGAACACCCTATATAAATAAACATCCAAAAAAATATAGTATTTTTAACATATTGTGGTAGTTTTATGCTGCAGAACACAATAGTTTAGATGGTGGAGACTAATGTAGAGTGTTTATTTTCGTGTAGGCTAATTGTTTAGAGTTACAGGCGGATCTACGGGGGGAGGGAGGAGGGTCTTTTGGCCTGAAGCCCCCCCTTCCCCACAAAAAATGGTAAAATATGATGCCTTATGAAAAATATTATTTCTGTAAGTTTTATTTTTCGCGTAATTACATTTAGTATGTCTTCAAGAATCACTTATTTCCCAAAGAATCACTTATTTTATATACATAGGTAGTAGTTTTTTTATTTTTTTTTCAAAGTAATTATCGTTATATACAGAAAAAAAAGCTTTCGGACTGAAGCCCTCCCACCAAAAAAAATTAAATTCTGGATCCTCTAGTGTAAAGAATATGTTGTTTTTCTCCCAGAAAAATGTGTTTATTGGAATGAATAGCATATTGAATAGAAAAACCACATCATCGCACACGACCAGAACTCATTCTTCTGCATTTCCTGAACTTCGTTAAGGTGATTCCGAACACAGGCGGATCTAGGGGGGAAGCCTCCTCCTCTCTCCCCCAAGATGGTAAGCATGTTTTATGGTAAAAAATAATCTCTTAAAGTATTATTATTCGTTTAGTTACATTTTATAGGACTTCAAGATTCACTTAATCACTTTTTTATATAGGTTGTTAGTATCTTTTTTTTCAAGTAATTATCGTTATATATATATATATATGATAGATTTCGTGATAGATTCTAGTGATTCCGGGGTTTGATTTATAAAGCTCATTACAGTTGCAGGCGGGTAGATGCTGAGCCTGCAATGCTTAAATAGATTGTGGGCACCATTCAATAAACGGACTTTAAATAGCCATTTTTAAAAATCCATAATTTAATATTCAAATATTAACAAACGTAAGTATGTACGATAAACAATTAGAAATAAACTATTTAGAGCTATTTGTTCTACTGAATTAAAAATAGTTCATATCTTCGTGTCAGAAAGGGGTGAATGAGAGAAAAAAGATAACTTAGTGATAGTAAGAAAATCTGTTGCCCGCATCACACAAGCTTCACTATTTCTTCTACTTTAAACAGAAACAGCAATATTAGAGGGTATTGAGATTTGTACACTGATCTACCTTAAACCGGTTTACATTGCTTTAGTTTATCGAATAAATCGTACTCAAATCTTTTCTTTGATCAATTTTCAGGAAAACAAATCTAATTTAATTTGTTTTTGTTTCTTGATGTACACATGTAAAAATATAAAAACTTCTGAAATAGATACGAAAGTCGTGTGAGTGAACACACCAGATTTATTCAAAGTTTTTCGGCCTAAAGCCTCCAAAATTAAGTGTTAGATCCGATGATGAATGCAAGAGTTTTCGCTAGCATCTAGTAGTTTCCTATAATGGCAAGATTAGAAATCTGGAATGTCACAGACCTATTGAAGTGTTGGAATCGATATTCCGAGTATAAGTAAGTACTTGCTGACAACTGCGAATACTTCGCACAAACCTTTTATTTGTATGTTCCATTCAGTAATGTTTCTATGCAAGGGTTTAATACTTTTAATTAGTAAGTTATCAGTTTGTAAATGTAATAATCTATACCCATCAATAGGTTAACCCTTTCTAGTTTCATTAAATTTATAATTATAATATTATATTTTTTCTTAAGGTTACAAAAGCTTTCTAAACATTGCCTTTAATATCTGATGAAGGATAAATACTTTGAATTTAGTTCTCTGGAAGGTACGTTTTGACCAAGCTGTCTGTATTTACAGAAAATGAAAATAAAAATAAAGAAATGTTTCTTTTGTCATAAAAATAATCAATTAAATTTTTAAAAAGATAAACATGCAATAGCTTATATACAGATATTTTATTTAAAATGAAGTTTATAACATTCCATATTTATAGCAATATAACGAATTTAATAATTAATTTTACAAAACCAAATGTTTTGAAATTAGCTAGAATAATTACTTATTGATACAATGTATACTGTCTCAGGAAGAAAAGAGTCATTGTTTAAATTTTAAAATACCGAATGAAGAGTTAAGAGATTAAGAAATACTTTTATATCATTTTCTGTTAAATAAGAAAATCTACTAATAAAATTTATAATATCCAAGAAGAAGCTTTATTTAACCCTTATATATTTATTCCATGTTTTAATTCATTTAAATGGTCCAAGCATGGAGTATATTTATATAAAGGTAAAAAAAAAGATTTTTCCTCGATATTATGAATTTTATTGTTAATATATACCCTTGAAAAATTTTAAAAATTCAAAACAGAAATAAAATATACTTGATGAAAACAATTATTACTAAAATAGATTTAAAGTTTTTGAGTAATCCACAACTGAAATGAAGAAAAAACCTTTAAAGTAGAATTAATACTAAAAGTTTAGTACACTATATCTTTGCACCACATTGTCCGATTTCGATGATTTTTTTTTTTACGTCTTGTAGGGAATTTACTAAGCTTTCAAATACTCATGTGCATATTGGGCCAAAAATTGCGTCCTTTCCGAGTTATTCCCAGATTATGAATTAATTTATAACGTCTCGATTCGTTGAGACGTCACAATCACAAGGTTTGAAACCTTCCACTTTTACGTTCATTTTTATTTAAGTCCATGTATAAAATTAGGAATCAAAATTACGATTCGCCCACTCAGCGTAATATTCCCTTTCTATTGATACCGCATTCGTCAAAATCCATCTCTCCTAAGATCCGGAAAAGGGATATATATTTGAGGAATAATATATAAGAAGATAAGATTGTATTTATACTTTGCAGAAGTTGGGGAAAGATGTGTTTGTATACTCTAGGGAAAACCGGGGTCATGAAAAGTAGTTCCATGGAAAGGTTAAATAAATTAAATAAAGTGGAGAGATTTCACAGTTGGCGAAGTTGTTAGCTGAGGTCGAGCTGGTCCCTCCTCGTTAGTATTCGGCAGGGCTCGGAAGTCCCCGTTCCAACTAGTTCTGCCGAATCGTTTCCTCTCCTTTCAGCTGTCTTCTTCTTCGCCAGGATGTCTCTACTTCTGGTCCCTCTCCTCATATCAGAAGGTAAATTATCACTGGTTTTATCCAGTTTAAATTATCCTTTCCTATATTACTTTTAAGTATACTTTACTAATTAGTTGGATAAAAAAAAACAAGAAAAAAAACTTTAATAGCTTAAACTGGTTTGGTATCTCCCTGCTAACTTTCATCTGGTTCTAAAATTACTTTCCGGTTTGGAGGAATGCTAATAAAAAAAAAAAAATTAAATACTACTTTAATATTCTTCTGATAATCACAGGCGGATCTACGGGGGAGGGGCTTTTGGACTGAAGTCCCCTCCCCCCAAATGGTAAAATATAACCACGTTTTACAGAAAAAAATATTAAAAACTATCTCTTTAAGCATTCTTGTTCGTGTAATTACATTTAATAGGACTTCAAGAACCACTTAAACACCATTTCATATAGGTAGTTTACTTCTTTCTTTTTTTTTCTAATTAATTATCGTTATATGTATATGAAAAAAAATCTTTCGGGCTGAAGTCCCTCCCCCAAAATTAAATCCTGAATCTGCTAGTGCTGATAATATATATGAAAAAAAAAAACAATCAACTAAATTTAAAATTAAAAAGAATAATATATAACTTTAGACTAAATGTTCTGATAATAATGTTTATAACCAGGGGTCGAAACGTTTTTGGAACTTTTTTTAAAGTTCCATTTTAACAGTTTCTATGAAATATTTTAAGAAAAAAAGTTTTTATTAATTTATTAAAGTTCTTGAAAAATGTCCATTTAAATGAAGAATAAATATTAATTGGCCTTAAATTAGAGTTATAATTTGTCTTAAATGAAATACATATGATTCTAATGTGTCATTTTTTTGAGAAACTATCGATAAAATTCATATTTTATTGATTGACATTTTAGCGAAATAGAACTTTAGAAAAATACAAAAAGTTCTATAAAATCTTTACTTGCAAAGTTGCTTGAGACTTTATAGTTCTATTGAGAAACTTTATAGTTCAAAAAGAACAAAAAACTACCGACAGTAAAAATTCCTTTTTGAAA